GTGTGCGTGTGTGTGTGTGTGTGTGTGTGTGTGCAGTATTGCTATTTTGAAAAAGGTGATCAGGGAAGGCCTTGCAGGGAAAGTAACATTTGATCAGAGTCCTGATGGGGGGGGGGGTTTCATGTCTGTGAATATCGGTATGAACTTATATGTGTGGGTTTGTGAGTAGCCAAGGTTTTGAACCAAAACTGTTTCTTTATTTGGTTAATGTCCTTTGTGATCTTTTTCCAAAGTAATACCACTTGGTTAAATTTAATAAAAGTAAGTTCTGATTTTACTTTGCTTGAATGGTTGGTGAATGTGTTTGTGTTAAGCATCACAGTGTGACAGACTTGTACCTCTTTTTCAGAGATACCTGCCATGAACTCTTAGGTCATGTCCCCCTTTTGGCTGAACCTAGTTTTGCACAATTTTCCCAAGAAATTGGCCTGGCATCCCTTGGAGCTTCAGAGGAGGCTGTTCAAAAACTGGCAACGGTATAAATCTGTAAATAACCACATAGATCAGTAATTCTTAACTGGGGTGGGATGCGGGTATGGGCATAGTTTAAAAGTGCATAGTCAAGATGACCATTAGAAAATGTGTCTTGGCTCATAGTTAATTTAATTTAAATAACCTTAAATGAGAATGTAAAATTTTAAGGTTTATCAAAGGAGACATGAGCATAAAAAAGTCAGGGAAACACCAGTGTACAATAATGTTAATTGTTTGTATATCTTCTTTTGCCAGTAAAAACGATAGGTTCCCAAAAAATGATGTTAAAAACATTTTTGAGTACTAGATACAAGACATCATGCTGCAAATACAAGTCTGAGGAAGGCCTGGTTCCTGCCTTTCAGGAACTTACCACTGCTTGAGGAGATAGTTATGTTAGAATGAGATCAAGGCGATAGAGAAGGTCAGGCAGAGTGCGGAGAACTGCTTGGGGGAGGTTTCATAGGAGAGGAGCGCCGGGGCTGGCCCAGGGAAGGTGGGTAATGTTTTCCACCCGCTGAGAAAGACAGGGAGCTGGGGCAGAGTGTGAGGGTGGGGAAAGCGCTGCGAAATGAGCTCGATGGTCAGAACTGTGCTCAAATTGTGGTCTGGGGCCCTGGAGACCCTTTCTAAATCATGCAGAGGTGAAAGATCCATTCAGAGTATAAAATGGACTTTAATGTAACAGGGTTCACTGATATGGTTTCCGATTCCACAGTGCAGCTGAACTTTAAGAAATGACCACCTTTTGAGTTTTGATGTAATGTCAAAGAAAAATATCCACAATTATCTGAAAAGGCTATTACACTATTCAGCCCTCTTCCAACTACTTATCTGTGTGAGGCTGAATTTTCTTCATGTACTTTAATCCTGTATGTTAGCCATCATTATTACTCTTATTCATTGATAACCTATTAAGTGACAGGTGCTGTTTTAAGCATAGGGAATGTAACACTGAAAAAGAAACCCCAGATAAAAATTCCTATCTTCATAGAGCTTATGTTCCAATGTGGGATATAGGTAATAAGCAAATGAATATACATAGTCATATATTTTAACGAAAACAATGTATTGCAACAGGTTAAATTCAGGGGCAGACGTGAGAATCCATCTGCTTTCCAGCCAGACATTAAATAATATCTAGCCAGACTTTTAAAAGACTTGCAACAATGTAAAACAATGCTAGTTTTTTACTTTTTTGGTTTTGTACAATATAGTTACTTTTCATTAAAATGTTATTTATGTTACCATATTTTAAAATTAATGAGTAAATATTTAAATATTTTCTCAGTTTTAATTTTTAATATGGTAAGTATAGCTAGCTATAACCTGCATAAACAAAAAGTTTTTGGCGTCTTCAGTAATTTTAAAGAGTGTATAAGGATCCTGGGAACAACAGCTTGAGAAGTCTTGGTTTAGAATGAGGCCAGACTGTAGAAATACTTGTGAGCTAGTCGGGGGGTCTTGACTTTATTCCAGGATACTTTGGGTAGTGACGAAGGGTTGTAATTTGTTTTAAATGGAGTCATTCAGGATGTGAAAGTAATATTGATGTCCTTTTGCAGTGCTACTTTTTCACTGTGGAGTTTGGTCTGTGTAAACAAGATGGGCAGCTAAGAGTCTTTGGTGCTGGCTTACTGTCCTCCATCAGTGAACTCAAAGTAAGAGTTGTAAATCTTCGCACATTGCTATATTCACTTAATATCACTTATATGACCTGAAATAGTTTGCGGGCTTGAGTAAGAGCTTAGTATGGAAAATACTGAAGGTGACGGTAAACATTATTTAAGAGACATTTTTCTCTGTTTCCCAAATATTCTGATTTATATATGTATGTGTGAGTGTGTGTGTATGTATCCTTAAAATAAAAAAGTGCTTTAAAGCTTTTGCTTAAAAAGTCTTGCTGTTTCCTCACCATTTTTGGTGTGCCAGCAGGAGCTTTAATTTTTAGGGAATTCTTTGAGATTTCTTATTTAGCCAATAAAGGAATAAACTTAGGTTTGTTGAGTGATGGATACATGTGCGGCCCAAATCCAGGGCAGTGTCATGCTCTCAAGGAGCCTGCCACCTGGTGGTAGGTACAGGTCATGCGCAGGAATAGCTAGCGCAGGTAGAAAGTCTTACCAAATATGTGGCACCTGCCATAATACAGAACTACATGAAGATCCTTGGATGCCTCCTACATGGAGAAGAGTGTTAAAACAATGGAGATGATCTCAAAGCATTTCCAGAGAGCGACAGGCCATTTGTTTTGCTGGATAATATTGTGGGTTAAATAGAGCTGTAGGAAATTAGCGTGGAATTGTAGGTTGGGGCCTTTGCTTTAGTAATGCATTCAGAGGTGTGCAGATTCTGGCAGTTGTGTATAGAATGTGGTATATGAAAATAGATAGCATTCTTTGATTCACTAACTCTTTGTTTTGCAGCATGCACTTTCTGGACATGCCAATGTAAAGCCGTTTGATCCCAAGGTAACCTGCAAACAGGAATGTCTCATCACAACTTTTCAGGATGTCTACTTTGTATCTGAAAGCTTTGAAGATGCAAAGGAGAAGATGAGGTAAAGTATATCTTCCCCATGCCTTAATTTTCCTCTGTAACACATAGGTCCAATAATGGCAACAAATCACAGAAGTAAGCAACGGGATAATTAGAAGCCTAGGAGCCTTCTACTTGTAACACATCTCCCTTTCACAACAAATATTTAGAGTATGTGGTTTTAAATGACAGTTTTAAATTATGAGTCAGCTACATCAAGAAAATGGTTTCTTCCAATCAGAGAGCTTATAATCTATTAAGGAAAAAAAAGCTATACACAAATTACTATACAACAACAGAGAAAGCCTTAGAGGAGATATGACTGAAACACTGTTCTGCATTTTATGCAGGAGCAATTCATTCCAGCTAGGGGAACAGAGAAGGCTAACGGCATTTTAGAAAGTACATGAAGGATAGAAAGGATGTAGGTATGTTAAGTTTTAGGCTAAAGGACAGCATAAAAAAGGCACAGAGGTAGAAAAATATAGGAAATGGATGAAATCAAAGCTATGCTTTAACTATTAATTAGCTAAGTGTGTTGTTAAGAAAGGAAGGTATTGCAGGCAGAGAAACTACTTATATTCTTGCAATGCTTCAAGTGAAAATAAAAGTCTGAGCTAAGATAGAGGTTCAGGAAAGGAAGGGACGGTAGAGGCATAAGCAACAAAACAGTATTAGTGCAAGGGGTCATGAGATCTTATTGTGACAATGGAGATAGATAGGGGTTGAAGACATGCTCCTTGTCTTCCAGGCATTTTCTTTTAATTGGGCATTTAACATGCACAGAACCAAATAACGATATCAGAAGTCTTCCTCTAAGGTGCACATGTGGCACCTTTGTGCAGCTAGAAGAGGGGTCCCCTGTGGGTAGACCAGGTGGACTGCAAGCTGGATTTCACCCTGCACTCGTGCGTAATTGTCCTGAGCTGTACGATTACCCCTGGGGGTCCTGAGCGCGACTGTTCCTGGGAGTGCCAAATGAGGCGTTCGAATTTTGGCTTGAGAAAGAAGGCAGAAAACTTTCATGCTTGAAGAAAGGGTAGAATTTAGGTCATTTTAGAGAAGGTGAGAGGAAAACATTCTAAGCAGAAAGAATGTACATGGGCAGGAGGCAGGACTGCTCTTGGCCTGTTTCAGTGTGTGTGTGTGTGTGTGTGTGTAGTTGTGTAAATCACAACTGAGGGATCTGTTACTATATAGCCAGAGTTGTCATTGTTTACTGATAAAGCTACTGTGGTCGGTCTCCTTACAGTAGTTAAGATATGTGTAAGGTAATGAATTGTTAATAAAGCCGCCCACAGGGTCTTTCATCTAGGGGTAGATGTATCCACGGCGATGTCAGGTTTTCTACTTTTATGGATTCCAGGGTGCATGTGCACATGCAGTGTAGGGAGTAGTCAGACTGGCTGCAGGAACGTCTAGATTTGTCTTTTGCCTAGTGTGTGAAATAGGTTTGCTGTTATTTAGTTTTCACTAGAAATTTTTGAGTTTTCACTAGGAATTGATTGCCTTTTATTTGTTTTTCTTAACTAGAGAATTTACTGAAACAATGAAGCGCCCGTTTGGAGTGAAGTATAATCCGTACACACAGAGTATTCGGATCTTGAAAGGCACCGAGAGCATAAGCGGCGTCGCGAACGGGCTGCATGAGCTCGGTGTTGTCGGCGACGCGCTCGCGAAGGTCAGCCGGGAGCCCAGCATCGACAGTCACCAGCCCTAGTCCTGAGAACACATCCGAGCATCGATTCAGGGACCTGGGGCCAGCTCTTGCTTTTCTTGAAGACTTGGTCACGGAGGGATAGCAGCCAGACAATATTTTCTACTCCCATTCCTTCATGGCCCGTTAGTCTTTGAAAACCTGCACCTGGGCATGCTAGCCATCACCTGTTTCTCTTGGTAACAGTTTTAGTGAAACATTATTCACATACCATATAATTCACTGACTACCTGTTTTGTTTTTTTAAGTAGAGAAGTTGTTTGACCCAATGGATATATCTAGTCCGAGCCTGACTCTGTTTTTCCCAATCCTTCTTCGGTAAAATGACCTTTATGATGACTTAAAATACCTTCATAGGAGTGTCAACAGTAAAAAACAAACAAACAAAAATGAATACCTTCATAGGTATTATGGAGCTGGTCCATATTGTTACGTAAATCCTCTTATTTCTAAACTGTCTTACTTGTCACTGAACTGTGCCAAGGTCATCACATTCACACACCTCAATTTAATAGGAGACCAGCTGCCGGTGTGAGCAAGAGCATAGAGGGCTTGGCACATGAAACGTACCCGGTAAAGAGCAAGCAGTGTAGCTGCAAGGGTAGGGTCTCGTAGGGAAACAGGAGTAGCTAAGTCTGTAAAGGCCACTGGGGTACAACCTTAAGACCAGGCTAAGAATTTGGGACTTTATTTTGTAGGCACTAGGGAGCCCCTTCCCAAGTGACAGTCCTCCTTAAAACTTTCCTTTTCGATGGCATTGCATGACACTGGTTTTATTTTAGGTTATCTGTCCTACTCATGGGGCCAGGGGAACTTGGCGGGGGTACCACTTGCAAGGCCCTGCACTCAGACACGTAGCGCCAGGTACTGTGATAGATTGTCCTCAGGTTAGCAGGAGACAGTGTTGTCAAAGGGAGAGTTCCAACTGAAACAGATGAGAGAAGCACAAAGTTAAAGTTGGAACAGCAGTGCCGGGCACTTTATTTCCAAGGTATAAGGTGAGACGATGAATGGGAAGGCAAGGCATGAGGGCGGAGGGGGGGGAACATGGAGGAGGTGGAATGTAAGGAAGGCCAGGCAGAGCATTTTAGGGCCGACACTGTAATAACGCGAGGGCTGGTTTTTATGTGGTGTCAGCTGTGTGTGTAGTACAGGGAGTAGGTCTGATGTAAACAGATGAAGCTGGACTCCCAAACACATGCTGTATCTTTTTAATTTGCTCCTTTCCTCCCCCGCCCCAAAGTGAGGACTTCCGTTAAGTGTCTGTCTTTGGCCCTCTCTCACTCTGCTATCTCTTCATGGGAAATGTCATCCACGTCCATGACTTCAATTCTCATTTTCTATGATTCCCATATTTGCAGTTCTAGCCGTTACATCTTTCTTGACTTCTTGCCTCTTAATTCCAGCTGTCTGCTGGATATTTCCGTCTAGATGTCCCATAAATTAAGCCAGTGTTGTACAACTTTTTGTAGCACCATTCACAGAATGAAATGGGTTTGTGCAATGTGGCAGCCCTGCCAAGTATCTCAAACTCAATAGGACCAAAAAGAAACTCAGAATCACCTGAATATTATACCCTATCAGTGTCTTCTCCCAGTGATCTTCTTTTTATTGATCATATGTTAAGGGTCATATTTTCAGCCAATTTTCCATTCTTAAGAAGCTGTGTCCTTATATTTTTCAGATTAATTGTCTAATTATATATCATTTAACATGTTTTATTTCAACAGACCACTTGATCTTTTAATCCTTTTTAGACCTCAAAAGAAATTATAAAAATCTTAAAAATTCCTTTCAGTTTGTTATACTGTACTAGGAAATAGAATCAGGAAAGGTAGTTCATGCTATTTCATATCTTTATATTATACATTTTAATAGCCGATTAACTTAAATATATTTTTGATAGTAAATAGATCTAAGCTAATCTAAAATCATTTTTAAAAGATTCATTAGCTAGTTTATCGTTAGTGTATTTGGTTGCAAGGAAACCTATTGTAAGCAAACCATGATAGATGGCATATAACAGCAAATTATGCATGTTGTATCTGGTTATTTTCATACAACTTTGATTATGGTGAAGAATCATAGTTATTGAATTTTACAATGATGGTATTTAAAATCACTCTATGACTAAAGCACACTAAAATAAATATTTAAAGACACAATCGTTACAATTCACAACTTCAGAATAATGGAAATATTTAAGGATTGATTTAGGTTCTTCGAACCTCTTAGATTTGTGATATTTGGTAAGTCAGGAATCTTCAGAGTCTTCGAATTTTCATACGTTTAAAATATATATCTTCAAAGCATCTAGGAATAGAATTGAGCCAAAAGTTTGGTTCATAATTCTTTCCCCGCCCTTTTCCCCTTCTGCTCTGTCGCTCCTGGTTGAAAGGGCCCTGGTGGGAAGCAGTGGGCCCAGTTACGCTCTAGCACGTGCTCTGGCGCAGCAGCCTGATCCCCAGCACCCCATGCCAACGCAGTGGTGGTTCATAGTTCTTAATCAGTGAGTTGTTACTCAGACATAATGGTATTTATTTTCCTGACTTTTTGAAGAAAGCTCCAAAAGCTGGTCATCAGAATGCCTACATTTCTTAAGCTGCTTATTTTGTCATTCGGAATTGTACAGTAGTAATGACCCACCAAAATATACAGAATTAGAGTTCATTTTTAAGTTGGCTTCCAAATTGGAAAAAAAAAAAAAATCCTAGATTTGTTTAAAAAACATATAATAGAGTTCATATATTTAATTTCTAGGAAATATATAAAGATACTGCTATCTATTTCAGTCTAGCCTTTGTTTTACTATGTAATATACACTTATGATGTGCAAGTTTGTTATTCAACTGGATAATAAATGGATACAAAACTCATGTTCTTGGCAAGCATTTATTTTTTGTCAAACATGTTAAAATGGATTTAAATATATTAGCAATTGTATTAATTAAAGAAACCTATCACATCCTCATACTTCTTAAAAAGCCTATGAATATATGAGATAAGGGAAGCCAAACACGCCTGGAACCTAGTAACCATTTCTTGGAATTCTTGGTTAAGTCTCAATCTTGTGATCCTTATCTGTAAAATGAGCTAAATCTACTTCACTAGGGTATTGGAGGAATTATGTTGTGGATTATGTATTACCTGTATCCATATGTAAAGAATAATTAAAATAATCGCTCTTCTAATTGGAGAGCTTCCATAGCTTCTGGATGATTTTACCTTCTTCTGGAGGGAATGAACTTTTACTTCTAGCACGCAGTATGTATGTCATGGCATGGAAAGATCTTCTTAGTCCAGTTAGGGACTAAGCCAATTGGAAGCTGAGTTTCAGTCTTTGTGAGGGCTGGTCTGTTTTCAGTTTGCCTCTACTCTTAGGGTGCAGCCCTTTAGGGATCCCAAAGGAAAGCTATGGGTGTGCCCCAGGGGTTCTCCTTGGGAGCCCTGGGCTCCTACTTTTGTCCCCTCCTTCACTCTCATCCTCCCTAACCCCCACCTCCATAAGATTATTCAAGTACTGTTCAGTTTTTCAGCTTCTCAGCTGCTGCTTTCAGCCCAGTTTCTTAGCCTCCAAGTCACCGCTTGCTAATTAACAAATGCTTCAAGCAGAAAAGTGCCAAATATAATCTCTCAGCTTCCAGATATTGGCCCTTTAAGTTCTGGCTGCTTTGATAGTTCTCTAATGGCTTGAAACAAATTTTTAAAATATTTTCCCCAGCTTTTCTAGTTATTTTGATGAGAGAATTGGTCTGCATTAGCTAATATGCCTTTATCAAAAGCAGAAATCTGATTTTGGAGTAAATCACTTAACTTCTTTGAGCCTAAGTTTTCTCCCCTACAAAATAATTATGATCCTAACAATACTTATCATACCAGTAATATTGAGAGGATTAAATAAGAATCTAATGGAAAAAATGTCCTAACCTGTATGGTGCAGAGATATAGTCTGTATGGCCCCAAATGCTTTATATTTTCCTCTTATGGGGAGACAAGGCATCTGAAAGTGATACCATCACATAGTTTAAATCTAGCCCTGATCAGGAAATGCAACTCAACCAGGCCGTTAATGGGAAGGGGCTAGTCAGTGGCATGTACACAGTTGCAACATCTGAACACTTCCAAGAAATTGTACTAAGGGAAATAACATAATGTAGCTGTAAGTGTTGATGCATGTACATTCAAGGGGTGAAATAAGAAAACAACTATATTCTTCCAGGCCCTCTCTCTATGCAACTGGCTCTGTCGGTAGTTCCTCTTTGCCCCTTTGGATGAAATCTCAGGTCCTGGCCTTGAATTTTCTGTTCACTCTCAGTCTTTAGCTTCCAATCTCTATCTCAATCTTTCTCTTCCTCCCTTCCTCCTTCCCTCTCTCTCTATCTCTCTCTCTCCTTGGTATTTTAAAAATCTAGCCTTATGTAAAAGTTCAAAACATTTAACTTTATCTAAGCTTAGCATTTTCTTCTTTAGAATGAGAAAGGAAGGGGTGTGCCAACCTTCTTTATTTTCTTGTTTTTATTTTATTTATTTATTTTAAAAAATATATCTTTATTGATTTCAGAGAGAGGAAAGAAGAGGGAGAGAGAGAGAGAGAGAAACATCAATGATGAGAGAGTCATTGATCAAGCCCACAACCGGGGCATGTGCCCTGACTGGGAATTGAACCCGATCGCCTGGATCCTAGGTCAACGCTCAACCGCCGAGCCACGCCCAACCGGGCTATTTTATTTTTTAATTTTATTTTTGCTTAAAATATTACAGATGTCCCTTTTTTTCCCCAATGACCCCCCCCCCC